TATGTCAATTCGGTAACAACATCTTTCGAAGATAATCTCAACTATTTTTGTTTCCTTCTGTTTCCCATCTTTTTCATGCAAGTCACTAGATTTGTTTTCCTTCTATTGTACAGGCAAGGAAAAAGAAATGATAGAATTAAATTCTTTTGCTGGATCCTGCAGCTGCTGTTTTTGGGTTAAAATCTGGTAGACATTGTATATCTTGGACATGGATCTTAGCAGATTTGTAGCACAGATGCTTCTGTTTAAATGCATCTCTTGTAGTGTTTTTAGATGTAGTTTATAAATGTCTACCCAACAGAATTCCATGCATATATGGTCATAACCTGTGGAAAAATCACAGGGAAGCCATTTTTGTTTGTTACAAGAATACAAGGTATGTAGGGATGTAGACATGTAATACCAATTAATTTAAAGCCTGTGGGGATATGTAGCTTTTAAAGCCTCTATTCCGTAAGGTGTAGCTTTTGGATATATTACAGCATTTTGAACGGGTTGAATTTTTTCGTAGTGTTTCTAATTAAATAAACTGATTTAGTGGTGTGTTAAGGTCTTGGGACTGGCCAGTTTCTGAATTGGAAATCCAGTGTCCTAGTAATGTCATTTTGCGTTGCGTTTCCTCAATAAGGTAGTGTCGTACTTTCGTAGTGATTGTTCATTTGTTCGTTCAGTTTTTTCTTTTAAAGTTCTTGTCTGAATTTTGGCATTTCCTAGAGATGTATAAATTTTTAAAAAAAGAAAAATTCTGTTTGAATTATGTTTTTACTGATGTCCAAGTTTGGTTCATTTGGTCCAAGTCCGTTTGTGTTTATTTAAGCTAGGTCAAATTTGATTTGGTCTAAGATTGAAATAACTTGAAACTAGCCCTCCCCTAGGGATGGTCCGGTTCTGAATTCTGATTGGTCGTTCCTAGATTTTAAGTGAAGGGTTTGGAACGGACTTGGACGAGTGGATAACTACGGGACCCGGTTTTGGTCTGGTCCACCCAGATACTCGTGGTTTGGTCCTGGGCCGGTTTAGGATCTTTAGATTTAAAAAAAACATTAAGTTGCAAATTATTGTACACATCAAAATAAATGTATATTTATTTCAAACACCTTTGTGTATATTTTATCATTTTATCAATAACACATTTGGAAATTACAATTGAGAATATTTAAAGTTGAAAATCAAATTACATGAACTAATCGTCCGAGTTGCTTTTGGTGTCGGTTGTGATTTTCTCCATGAAATGATGGTCTGATGCTCCATTGACTTCTTAAGTTTTACGGTAGAGTGGCAGACCTTCAATCAATCATGGAAGCAAACAAGTGTCTCAACTCTCAAGAGATGAAACACTCAATCTTGTTCTATAGTCAGTTAAAACGTTCCCGGTTTCGCTAAACTCTCGAGATCGGCATTGACAACACTTGTTTGGCCATTTTTGATAAAACCGGAAAGGGAAAATGGCACTTTTAGTCCCTGAAACAGTCGCCGTATCGAAATGTCAGACCCATATTTTTGAAACGGTAAATGTCACTCCTCAAATGTTACTCCTCGCCCACATTGTACATTTCACTTCTTCAAAGGACCACATTTACTACAATTTGGACAATTGAGGGGTGACATTTACAAATATGAGAACACGGGTCTGACATTTCAATATGGTGGCTATTTGAGGGACTAAAAGTGTGATTTTCCCAATCGCAAACATCTCTGCGTGGCTCTTCCACCATTGGAGAATATCAAAGTCGCTCGCTTCATTATGCTCTACATGAAATGTTAGATATAAAGACAGCACGCTAATCGAGCTTTGTGCAATGATAGAAGTTGATTTACTTTTTTCAAAAGACTAGATATTTTTGATTTTTAGAAACCTTTTCATTTATATGAAGAATCACTCAGTGTCGGGGGAGCAGGTACGTTACCATATTGTGCATGAAACTCATTAAATAAAGCGTAAAATAGATTACCAACCTCGTTGAATTGGGCTTGAGGATCTATAGGTGTTTCGTCATACATAGGGAACAGACCGTAGAAAGCAGTATACTAGTACTTTTAAAATGTTTGATAATTTGAAAGTTTGGAACAAGGATCAAGATAGAAAGCAATAGAATAATAGGTGGAATGTAGGCAAAATATTGCAAAAACTTTTCTTTCATGTAATTACAAAAATAATGAACATAAGTAGATTGAGAAAATCTTCAAAAGCACCGACGAGATTAACAGTTTGTTTAAATAATTAGTTCCTAGTTGGTATATACACATAGAAAAAGTTTGAGTAGTTTTGTTAAAATAAACTAAAACATTGCAAACCTTCTCCATTGTTTTGAACTCAACTGGTCCTATAATATAATTACAAGTTTCTTTCATAAAAGCAGGGAAGTGATCTTTAAATCTATGAAGCACAACAATTAAAGTATAAGTATTATCCCAACAAATAGAAAGATCTTTAGAAAAAACACAATAACTTATATCTTTGGATCTCAAATAAGCACGTCATTGCATTTGCGGTGGATTACTACCCCAAATCAATCTAATAGCCCCTTAACTTTCTCCATCACATTTCCTAATGCGGCTAAGTCGTCTTTCACACATAAATTAACAATATGACATGCACAACGTTGATTAAAAAATCTACCCATCAAAGTAAAAGGACCAAATAATTCACGCAATCTAGGTATAACAACAATTTTATTAGTAGCATTATCAAAGCCAATAGAAAACACCTTATCAATCAAAATATATTCAATTAAAATACGTTACATTAGAATATAGATATTATCACCGGCATGTCTTTCATTAAAATCTAGAAAAGCGATATCTCGTTTATGCATTTGTCGATCATCATCAATCTAATGTGCAGTAACACCCAAATAATACAAGTGATGATAAGTGTCTTCTCATATATCACTACAAACAGTCACACGCCCATTAAAAATTGCAAAAAAATTAAATTAAATTTTCCTTTTCCAAAATATATTGTTTAATAACTTATTTTTTTATTTTTTTGCGGCTATGGTTTCTAAATTATTGATTTAAAGAACCTTGAGCATAAGCACGTAAAGCAAGACTTTCGAAAAAATAAAAAACAAATTTTCTTCACAAATTAACTCAGACATTACTTTTAAATGCACCTCATCATTATAAGAGAAATTATCAAAGGTTTGATCATTTGCAAATCTCGATATTTGTGTTTGCATCCCTGCCCTTCATTTTTGCCGCCTTCGTGGGGTGCATAGAGTTCAAGTGCCTTTGCACCGTGCCGTAGTCCGCCGAAATCCCCATGCACAATATTTGTGGACAATGTTTGCAATGTGCGTACCACTTCTCGTCCGTCGGATCCTTCACCATATCAAAATGATCTATAAAAAGAAGAGATTTTAGTTTAGACTTGCTTTTTGGGTCGGTTGGGATGAACCGGCGCCTCCTCCTTGCTCCTCGTCGTCGCGGTATCCCCGTCACCTTGTTCATCCTCATGCCTGCCCGCCGCCTTGGTGGCCCGCATTCCTGTCGCCTCCTTGATCCTCCTCATCGTAATCGTCCTCCAACTCCCCATTAATCTCGAGGAGGTTCTCTTGGTGAAAAAACCGACCTTGGTTTTGCTCCAAGAACTGCTCAAGTTGCGCATTGCTCATCGCATCTCTACGTTATAATCGGTCGCCCAATCATCGTGGGTTTGTGACGAAGATGTTGTCCCTACTCGTCGTTTACCTTTCGACCGACCCGAACACCCTAAAGGATGACCTCTCTCAACCTCCTTTGAAAGATTGCGTTGGAGATTACCTATATCAACGGATTTCCTAGCACGGTCCATTGTCTTACAAAATGTTACAAAAATTACAAATTTAAAAATGTCAAGATTACAATTGACAAAATATTAAAATTTAACAAGAATTAAAATTTAGGGAAAAATAAATAAAATACTTCAAACTTTGAAGGGGTGTGAGATAAACACCCCAAACTTGCATATGTAATTTAAATACCCAAAACTTTATGGTGTTAATTGCATAATTTAAAATTATTTTAGAATTTATGATGACACAATTAATATTCTAAAGTTTCATTAGGAAATAAATAATGTTACTCTCAATCTATATAATTACAACACTTTTAATTTTCTATTTTAAAATATGCCATTAACCTCATAAATTTACATTTTTTAAAGAAATAATACATGACACTAGTGCAAAAGTAACTTTTTATTTAAAGGTCAGGGTATTTAAATTATATACACAAATTTGGTGTGTTTACCTCACACTCCTTCAAAGTTTGAGGTATTTTTATTAATTTTCCCATACAATGACACTTTCAAGATGCTTATGGTTGTTTAGTTTCAATTTCACACAAATGTGTAGCAGTGTAGGCATTAGAGTGGACACAGTTAAGGTCCGGATAGATTCAAGTCCCGAAATGACAAGTCCTACAAAAATTGGGAGGTCCATATTAGGACTTATATTTATGGTTCCGGCCCCAATCAATGCCAATCCTATCACGGTTTAGATACTACTCCGTCCTAAAAAACTTTACAATCTCATATAATATTATAGAAGTTATAAATTTTAAACTTGTATGAAAGTACTTCAAACAAATAACATTTTCAAATCAATTTTTATATTATAAATAATTTCCAATAAAATATATAGTTGATGAAAGGTTAAAAAAACAAAGTTTTTGAAACGGAGGCAGTGCATTTTAAACCCTTGATCCCCCTCCCCACCTTTCTTCAACATTTAAATGTACCCCCTCCCCCTTTCAAAATGCTTCCCAATGGTCTAAATGTAAAAGAAAAAGGGACCAGACCAATCGGTCATGGTCCCAACAATCAGACCAGAACCTCTTTCTCACCAGACCATGTCTGCCGTAGACCCGTAGTAGCCTAGTAGGCAGATAGGGCATCTGCAGAGGTTTATAAATAATCTTCTATGAAACACTCGATGGTAGGCTAATAGCTATGCTGCAGATGACTTGTTATAAACAAAAATTTATTATAACCTGTCATAACATAAAGTCATAAACCTTCTCAGGCGCCATCGACATTAGAACTTAGGAGGCATGAAACTCAAGCATATAGTTGCTTTCGCATTATAACATTAAAAAAAGCGTATATGAACCTTTTTGAGTTCAAACACATTTCACCATATACATACACCAAAGTACACAAATTAATATTGAAGAAACCTTGCCTTAAGGAACACCTAAAAAAATATTTCTTTAGATATTTTTTGGTACCATCAACGATAGGAAACCCCTAAATACATAGATCAACATGCATGCACATCCACACTGCATAGCTGATGTATCTTCTACTTACACTATTTTTTTTAACATAACTGAAGCAGCCCATCCTCAGTTCGAAGTGAACAAATGACCACTGACTTATCCCAACAAACATGACACTCAAAGCTGCGGGATGCATTGTGACTTCCTGCCACAATGATGATTGACCACGCCATGTCCACACCCGCCTGAAAAATGTTTCTCCCCTCATCTTTTTGTTTCTTTCAATCGTTTGTGCTGTCAAAACTACCTCTTGCGCTTGTCTTACTCTTCCTCTCTCGCCAATTTTCACCCCATACTTTTGCCAATGCAACGGCACGTTCTCTGTCAACTCCCTGATTCCTTTGAGAACCGGACTGGTCTAATTCATCTAAATCGCCCAATTTCCGCCCAGAACCACCACCACTTCCTCGTCCAGTTTCAACCCTTCTCAACTCAGCCCCACCTGTATTGTAATAATCCTTGGAGGAATTCCTTCTCCGGTAAAAATCGGGAGAATTCTTATTACGGATGGAAGGGGATGACCCATGACCATCTGGGCTATCTACACCAGACATGGTTCGCCTAGGGGTAGATGAACCAACTCTGGATGATGCGTTAGGATCATACGTTTGAGAGGCTAGATAAGTTAAAGCGGTCACGACATCTCCAATTAGAGGCCTTGTGGAAGCTTGTTCCTGTAAGCACATGGCTGCCACAGCTAGTGCTTGATAAAGTCCTCTCATTGGATATCGACCTTGCAATAGTGGATCAGCCATTTTTGGGAACTTCCTCCTATCTTTAAAAAGCGGCCGGGCCTACAAAAAGGATACATTGGCCAAAACCTTGTCAGATAAATTCAAACCAATACAAGTTCCTTTTTTATTGCTTTATTCATAGTCATTGAACCAAGTACTTATTTGAAACTTTTAAGGATATGTTTGGATCAATGGTTTTGGAGGCTTAATATATACTCTGTACTTCCGCATTTTTATTTTTTGAGTTTCAAACAGTTTGACCAGCCTTCTCACAACACACAACTTTGACCACCAACATATTTAACTCTATTTGTATAAATTGTGAAAGTAAAAAACAGTGATAAAGATATAACATGTGAAAAAATTGTAACAATTCTCTAAGAACAGACTAAGCATCTTAAACATAGTATGATAATATATGATTGTATAACATTTGAATCACCTTTTCTTAGTTTTATAAAAGTTCTATCTATTAAGGGAGACTACGACCTCCAAGGGCTTCCTGTACAAAACCATTCATCCAAACATACTCTTAGGGTTTGTTGGACGTGGTTTTGGAGGGAAAGGCCTTGGAGGGCTTAATTTATACTCTATCTTCCCAAGTATATTTGTCTCGTTTTTCCGTCCATACCACTAAAGTTGTCCCACAAATCCAATTCATTCTTTATTTCTATTTTACCGATTAAATATCGACCCTATAAAATCACCTTTCTTAGTTGGGGCAGTGGTAGTATCTTGATACACTGAATGTCTCTCTAAGCGAATAAAAAATGATTGAAATGCTATATGATCACATATGATGTTAATCATCTTCCAATTTTGATATAATTCCAAGTATTTATGAAGATCTAGCTACATACTCTCAGCTCCATAGCCCTCGCCTCTAAATCCCTATATCCAAACTGACCCTTAAAGTAGGCATTCTTACTTTGAGGCATTACTAAAAATATTAGTAACACATGGGTAATGTGCTGAAATAGGAGTATTCTTGTTTTGAGCTAAAAAAATAAGACTCATCCGTCATAGAAAATAATATCAGTAGTTAATAACTTTTCTTTTATGGGTGAATGTGTTATGTTTTCACCTTATTTATGATTTTTTTTTTCAGATACTACATACTACGTACATAGTAATGAAGAAGCAGAAACATTATACCCATGCAACAAGATTATGTTCTCCTGGAGTCCTTGTGTTATCAATAGCCTTGCGCCCCGTGATGAGCTCAAGGAAGACAACCCCAAAACTATAAACGTCGGATTTCAAAGTTAGTTGACCAGTCATTGCATATTCGGGAGCACAGTAACCATATGTTCCCATCACACGTGTAGACACATGAGTCTTATCACCAACAGGGCCCAGTTTTGCAAGCCCAAAATCTGACAATTTAGGATGATACCCTTCATCAAGAAGTATGTTGGAGGATTTTAGATCTCTATATATCACAGGAGGGTTGGCTTTATCGTGCAAATACTCTAACCCTTTTGCTGCACCAGCTGCAATCTTCATCCTCGTATTCCAGTCTAATGGCTCTTTTTCTGGTGTAAGATCTGACAAGTTCCCCCCCACAAGTGGAGTTAAATATAGGAAGGTTCTCAGAGTTCTCTTACTATAATATATAAAGAGAAAAGGGAACAACATAACTACACAATATAACAAAAAAATATTAATGTGGGGAGCAAGCTCAAATTTTCTTCATAATTCACGTCGGGCAACTTTTACAAATTAAAGGCGTGAACTGCATAAGCCTATAAGGTCATAGCTGGAGTAGAGTCTAAGAGCCCGTTTGGTAACACTGAAATCGGCTGAATCGGCTGATTCTGCTGAAATTTATGAAGTTCTGGTTGAAGTGGGTGTATTGGCCGATTCCGTTGATTTATGAATAAATTATATTTAAAATATATCTTATTAATAAAATAAAGAAAAAATTATATGAAAAAATAGCTAAAATGGTCATTAGTAACTTCAACCAATACAACCAGAAAAGTAACTCCAACCTTACTTTTTCTTATCATTACACATTTCAGCATGCAAATCAAAAGTTACGTGTTTGGTTAAAAAGTTGTCTGATAAGCCTGATAAGCCGAAAAACGGAGTTACCCAAATGGGCTCTAAATGTTTTCACTTTGCTGTGTAAATTTGGATGATTATGCTAAGCATCAACAAATCAGTACAATAATCTTTTCCTATTTACAAGCCACAATCGGATTGAAATGCTAAAGTTGAAATCAAGAGAAACCATGTCAACAAATCCAGACATTCTATACTTGCCAGTTATCACTACTTGGAATGTAATACCTATTCTATTGTGCATATGAAGATAAACTTTAAAAATTAGAACTCCAACCCTTTAAATAGTCCTACAGAAATAGATATTGAAGAAAAGAACACATAACGGTATGCAAATAAACAGCCATGGAAGATTATGGATTCTACTCATCCAAATATATTGATTTACTTCTTACACATTCTGCGTTTATTAAAATGAGATTATGAAAAATTGAAAACGAATGAGTCAAGGTCCTTTCGTCCTTGTACATAATGCATTCACAATATTTGAATAAGATAATACAGCGCCGTTTCTGTACTTTCTTAGAAATGCAATATTATTATTGGATGATGTTTGGATGTATTGCATGAAAATGCGCATCTTCTTGGGAGCAGCCTCTTGTCAAAATTTTATAGGGAAGGCTTGCTCCTTCTACACCCTTGTGGTAGGGCTCTTCCCCACACCCTCTCCTTGCGGGGATGCCTTCATGCACCGGGCTGCTTTTTTTTTAAGTTTATTATGTTACTACGTGATAATTTCAGAAAAACGAGAGCTTTATAATAGAAAATGGAGTGAAAGAATTACTGAGTAAGTCCCATTACAACTTGCACAACAAAACATATGAAAATAAATGAAAATAAAGAAGCACAATGAGAGAGGTAGAGAGGGGGGGGGGGGGGAGAAATTCTAACCATGCAAATGATCCTCAAGAGAACCCAAAGGCATAAACTCATAAACAAGGAGGCGTTGGTCACCATCTGCGCAGTAACCTATCAAGTTGACAAGGTTGGGGTGGTGCAAGAGGCTAAGCATTAGAACCTCCACCAAAAACTCTCTGTTCCCTTGAAGACCATTCCGATCAAGCTGTTTTACAGCAACTACCTGCCGATCCAACCATTTTTGGTGTCACACAAATATATGTCATCTAAGAGTGCAAGACGCAAGTGACTCAAAACCCCAAGAGTTCCATCTTCAAAGGCTAATAAGGCAGTGCTAGTGCATGCTTGTGCCTTTAAGAAGTGACTTAATTTAGTAATCATAAAGTATTTAATCGTAAAGAACTCGTATAATTTAAAACAAAAGTGAAACTTAAAAAGTAAAGAAATTGCTCTAAATAGTAGTAAAAAATTGTGAATTCCAGAATACCATTGTCATGCTTTTATTCCCTAAATAGGAGTAATTATTACCACATTTTGGCATTACCGGACTTTAAACATGACAGTATTTTGACTATTTTCCAAGTTTGTTAGTAATTACTCCTATTTAGGAATAAAAACATGGCAATCCTATTTTGAAATCCCAAAACGTTTTTACTCCTATTTAGGGAATTTTCCATAAAAAGTATAGTTGTAGTGTTGGTGAAGAAGTAATTATTGGTGTATTGTTAAGGTTAAATATAATACATAAAAGCTGTTTTTACCACCCTTCCCCTGCTTTCGGCTTTTAGCTTCGGAGTAATTAAAGTTAAACAACAACACCAACTAAAAAACACCACTTTTAGCTTTTCATAAGCAAAACACACAGAACTGCTTTTCAAACGCAATGGAAACACTGTTCAAGACCTATGAAAGAGTGAGAAGCGTATATGGTCAAATTCGTATATCAAAATCCATTGAAAAGGACAATTCTAGGCCTCTGATCCCGGAAAAATGAATTTTTTCCTAAAATATTACTGAAACAAAACTTGTGGACAAATGTGACAAAAGTAAACATGAGTAGTTGAGTACATTTATTTAGTCACTTTCATGTAAAACTTGAGCATAATTATAGTTACTAAAAATTACTATGTCACGTTTTTGTCCATTAACCTTATTCGGTCATGTATTAGGTATTATTTCCGGAAAAATACATGGAAAGAAAACAATTATACATTTGGCTTTGCCTTATACTACGTACTAGTAACATGTAAAGGAAAATGAAAAATGCCAAGTTTTATGCATCATTTTTGAACATACATTCAGATTTAATAGTATTTACATGATAAATATAAATACATAAATAAAATAAATAAATAAAAATAAGTCTACACAAATATCTAAAATAAATCTATTGATTTTAAACATATCTTTCATTTGCCTCAAATTGTCTTTCATTCAAATTTTACTCCTTAATTTCTTCCCTGGTATTTTTGGGATCCAAAAGAACCCTTTGTTGCGTTCTTGTGAAGTTAGTTCCAGAAAAGAGTACTACTCACCTGTCCAGTGCTTTCTAGCCGTCCTTTATAAACGCGTCCAAAACCACCTTCACCAATTAAACATTCATGCCTGAAGTTCTTCGTAGCAGCAGCAAGCTCACGAAATGTAAACGTCTGTGCAGCAATCTTAGCTGTGGGACCATCTTTTACAGTAACTGGTTCTTTCTTTGAGTCATTATTAGTATTCCTAGATTTACTCTTATCTGCACAAAACAGACGAAATGTCAGCAAAATGCGAAGGAGGTGAATCCGTGAATGATTAAAATCACTATATTATAAATACGAAGGATTTTATCACTCGCATTATCTTTTATACCAATATAATAGCACCAATTATATAATATAGTCATGATAAATATTTAAAATCTCTACTAGCATATGATGGAGTTGATATATAGCATCTAGCAATATCTGTCTCTAAGAATGATGCTCCTATATTTTAACACAAGGTTAATCAGTTTAAACCCCTCTTGACTATCAAACACACAACCTTTTGTAGTGATTTTTTATACACGTGCTTTCACTGCCCATAGTCAAGGGTTACTTTTACTTTTTAGCCATTGCCGAGGCAATCACAGGGACAAGAATTTTTAGACTGACTACTGAATGAAGTCACAGATCTATCAGCTGCACTACTATTATAGAAATAATGAAAAAGTTACAGAATAACAAATCATGTCATGATCAACAAACACATCAAACATATGAATGGAATGATTAAAGATCACTATGATCAACAGTTAATAAACATAATTGCTAAAAAGACTGTCATCACTGTCCAATTCAGCCCAACTCATCAAGAGTCCAAAGCACTCCAAGTAAAAAAATGCATTTTAAATTAAAGTATAATCATTAGGATCTGGGAGAAGTGAGAAGAGACCTGCACTAAGTTTGTTCACATTGTTAGACTGTACAGCAGAGCCATCCTTGAAAGCTTCCTTCTTAGATACCTCTTTCACCCCATCCCCTCCCTTGTTTGATGATCCAAAGCATGCGAAACACCGACCCATATCGAATCTATACAGATCAAACCAAGAGCCAATGAATACCCACCCCAAGCTCACCGATACATACAGGGAGGGGTGTGTCTCTATATCTTCACCTCCAACAGCTTGTCTTCTTCTTCGCCTTCCCAAGAAACCCCATCTGTGAAAAATCCCCAATTTAGCTCTCTATTTTGCACAAGATGAGATTTTTAGCCATAAACAGTTCCCCCGGGGACCTTCTGAATGAGCTTCGAAGGTAAAGATCAGCCCTTCGCTCTTGTTGCAGTCAAAGTAGATCAACAAATCCAAGAAACTGATGGCTCAAGACAAGGTAGGAAAGATGGGCAAAATAATAAAGTGAACTTATTAAAACGTAGTGTGTTTGGTCTGTCTTTTAGAAGCTAAAATGTTTTTCTTTCTTTTTTATTTTAGCTTTAAAACTTTAAAAAGATTTTGGAGGGCGGAATACTTGGTGACTTGGTGACTTTAATAACAGAAACATACGGACTTAGGAGTACTTAGAAGTGTAGAAGTATTTTAGTGCTCCAAACCGCTCTTAGGAGTAACACAGAGTATATTGTAGTGTTTAGATTAAAGTGTAGAAGTATTTAGAAGTGCTCCAAACCGCTATTAGGAGTAATTTTTAGAAGTTTGGGTAGATCAGTTTCTGAAAAATTAATTACAATTCTGTTTCTACTTTCAAAAAAGAAGCAGAAATATAAACAATTCCAAACACTCCTTATTATGCTCATTTAAACTATAATAATAATTTATTATGTTTATATTTAGAATTAGAAGATTAAAAAGAGAGTAAATATTGTAAGTAGATATATGATTTAAATAATTGTTTCAAAGAGTATTATTTTTCTTACAAACTCGGTCTTGGAGGTTTTTCCTTAAATATTATCGAAATATAACTAATGGACAGAAATATTAGTATAGTTACTATGCATAGTCATATAGTGGTAGACTGGTAGAGTTGAATACAATCATGGTCACTATTGTTAATATGGTTACTAAGTCATATTTTTGTCTAATTCATTTATTTCAGTCATATTTTTGTTATTATTTCTTATATCTTACATCATCACTAAACATCTTTAAAAATCCAATTTTAAATGTCAACTTTTATTAAGTTTGAAATCACATATAACATTTTAATACAACTTTTATTGTACTCTTACAAATATCTAAGTTTGAATACATTCATAGATCCACAATGTATGATCAACAAACATAAATATTTGTCTATATAATATTTTTGAAATTTGCAAGTTTGGTCTGATCTGGTCTGGTCTGAACTGGGCTGATCTGATTTGGTCTCATGGGACTGAACAGTCTAAATAAAAACATCCTTAGAGGTAACCTAAGCTCATGCGCACCCCAATTTTAAAAATGTTTTAATTATTAATATAAAAATTTTTGTATAAAAATTTATCACAAAACAGTCTTTCTATCATTCCAGTCTAGCCTAGTGCTATGGCTATGCCATGGGTAATAACTCATTTGAAAGAGAAGAACTAGTACCAATACATAAACCATATATGTAAAGTACTATTATAATTATAAAAAAATGAATAGTCATGTTTTAGGAATCACCATCTCTTAGTGGAGATAAATGAAGAGAGGAGCGGCAATGGCATGGGGAAACCCTAGCTGCCGCCTCCTCTTTTTCTCTTTTTTTCTTTTCTTCTTTCAATCATCTTTGATTTCAATAATAGAAAAACGTCTTCTTAATCAGTGTTTTCAATTTTATTCATCTGTTTCTTTCCCAACATTGTTTGGAGGTATTATTTCCGGTAGCGAAATATTGTCTGCCAGATCCATATTCCCCGCAACTTTCGGTCGGACGGTCTTGTGTGTTAAGAAGAGATTTGCACTGATCTCTTCATCAATCAAAAACATGATTTTCTTTTGCGTCGATATTGAGATGGATCACCCCCCTCGTGAACCACCGTCGTTCCAGGAAGATGAGATCATTTGGATTGCTTTCTTTTCTGTGGCTGGTGAAACCAGAACAAATTCTATATCAACATTTTTTATTTTTCATGATCTTTCAAATGAGACCAATATTGTCTATGTAATTTTAACATATTAACATTTGCGTGTAAAATATGTAACTTTACGTGTTAAAATATGTAACTCACGCTCAGTCAGACCAAATGAAACCCGTGTGTATAAATATGTATCTCTACGTGTAACAATATGTAACTTTACGTAAAAAAATATGTAACTCGCGTTCAGACAGGTCAAATGCAACTCGTGTGTATAAATATGTAACTCGCGTGTATAAATATGTAACTTTACGTGTAAAAATATGTAACTTTACGTGTAAATATATGTAAGTCGCGTTCAAGCATGTCAAATGCAACTCGTGTGTATATATATGTAACTCGCTTATAAAAAGATGTAACTTGCTTATAAAAAGATGTAACTCGTTCATAAAAAGATGTAACTCAATGTATTATCAAATGTAACTGAGGCCACTGATCCACTCCCAAACAGATTCGATCTTATATTTCACAAACCTATCATCTCCCAAACAGATTCGATTTTCCTTATAATCCAATACTCATTAATATAATAGTTCGATAATTTCTTAAAATTACATAAGCAATATTGGTCTCATTTGAAAGATCATGAAAAATAAAAAATGTTGATATAAATTTTATAAAAATCGGATCAAAAATAAAAAAGTTATTATCATTTTTTAACAACAAAAGCAAAAAAAACACAAAAACAAAAAAATAGCAGCATGCTACGTCGTTTTGCAACCGGGCGCACCATCCTCATGGTGCGCCGGTTGCACGGTATAATTTGCGACCATACAAGGAGTATAACTTTTCTACTTTCTCCTGAATACGTACCTAGAAAATTCATAAAACCTCATTAACAATTGTATTTACATAATACACTATACAAAAATAAGGAAAAGGACGCATGCACAAATATTTAATTTGTAGCCTTTTGAAATAAAAATTACTAGTTTTCTTTTTTTTTTTCAAAATAATGAGTGAATTTTTGTTTGATTAATTTTTTTGTCATTGTAATTTATAAAAAGTTTGTCAAATAATGTTATGAACTACTATTGTCTAGAAAATTTTCTTTTAATAAATTAAAAAAGTTAGATATTTTGCAAAACAATCAATTAGATATTCGTGTATGACATTTTATGAATTAAGTGTGGTACTTCATTATTTGATTTAAAAAGCTTTCAAAGATGAAACAGAGATGATTCTTAGAATCCCACATCGAAAAAGTTTGAATCAACAAAGTGCTATATTAAGACATTGGCTACTCCTCCTATCAGGTTGATCTTTTAGGATGGAACCCCAGGTCTTAACATGGTATCAGAGCCAAACCGATCCATAATCATGGTGTGAGCCCCCTTATGAAAAATGACGACACGATTAAAAAAATGACAATGACGAATCGACGAAAAAATGACTGACGGCACGGTCCAGACGAAGTGTCTGGTCGTGAGGAGGGGTGTTAGAATCCCACACCGGAAAAGTTTGAATCAACAAAATGCTATATTAAGACATGAGCTACTCCTCCTATCAGGTTGACCTTTTAGGATGTAACTTTTTACCATTAACAAATTATTATTTTTCAATAAAATAGTACAAGTATTAACGCATACAAGAGATAGACACAATATACAGAGTACTAATCAATATTCATAATTATAAGGTTTTTAGAAATATACTTCGTACATTTTAACAATGTTAAAAACTTAAGTTTCTGATTTGGTAAAAAGCCAAATAGATTAGCTAACGTGTGTAATTCATTTGGAACTGTTTGGTGATATTTTTATTTCTTAAGAGATTCTTATCTCATTTAACTTTTAGATGCCTTTAATTTGCTCCATAGGATTAATCAAGCCGTCCTTTATCTTTTGGGGATATGTCCCCACATGGAAGGATTGTCGTTATGATACCTTACCTTGATCCCTTCCCTCCTTGCCTTCGTTCATTTCATTGGCTTCTAGTTCTCAACATTTAGATAGTGAAGTCCTTCCAGATTTTAAGAGGGTTGGATGTGGGGAAAAAATTTCAAAAAGATGATCAATAAAGTTTTTTATTAATTAAATTGCTTGAATGTGACATTAAGAGGAAAAAAATGAGCACTCACTCTCCGCTAATTAAGTCTGTTTGGTAATTCTTATTTTTAATTTGTTAGTATCACAATTTTATTTTTATCAAAATACATAATTTTTTATTTCGCGTGCTCAATTTATAATAATCAAAATCTATGATATTTTAGATCTTTGATGAATAGTTTTCAATTATTTTAGTCCCTTATTGAAATTGAATCTATCTTTCATGTCCAAAATTGATAAAATTCCAATATTCTTTTATGATTTTAACATGCAACCAATATTGCATATTCAAAGAAAAACATATATAATGTTTTTAAGTTATTCACTATAATTTTAAATTAGATGTTCTTAATTTTACTTATTAAATGTTGAAAGAATTACATATTTATGACTAAAATGAAGATTGTTTACAAAAATGTGATTAATGACTAAAGTAGTAATGAAATCATAATAACTTATGTTCAATTTTTAAACTTAAGTTAATATGACACTATATTGTAGTAACTAATAGTCGTATTTATGTAAATAAGTTATATTTTAGTAACATTTATGTAAAACCCCTTAATGTTAGTCATATAAAGGGGAAAAATTTACAGTTGACGTATTTATGTAAAAACCTCAACACGAGTAAAAAAAACAAGGCATTTAAAAAAAATTGACTAGCATGTCATAGCCACTTATTAACTTTTACAGAGAGAACTTCTAACGGAGCTTGAGAGACCTTCTCTCTAAACCTTCGATACTCCCTAGGGCTTGGCCGCTAGGGTTTTTTCCGATTTCGCTCCCACGAAGATCGGCCATTCAAGGAGGCGAAGGAACCAAAGGCGGCTGGTGAAGCAGAATCGGCAACGGGTTGAAGACGAAGCAAGACAAAATCGATTGAAGGAGGCTTTTGGATGGAGGACATCGTCAACTCATACAAAAAGATGGCGATCGAAGAACAACAGAACGAGCTTAATTTCGATGAGGAAGTGGTTGAGGATGGTGACGAGGTGACCGAGAAGCAGACTTACCCGGTGGTTGGAGTGGTTATCACCGACCGGAAAGTGAAACCGCCAGGTTTTCAAGAGTTGATGGTTTCGCTCTGGCGGCCAGGGAGAGGTGTAACACCGTCCCCAAGTATATTTACTTTTAGTCAATCATGTAATGAACCTTGAATAATGTTTTATGAATTTACAAGCTTGTTAATTTTTTTGTTATTTCTTTTGCGTGAATAGTGAATTGCACGCGGGGCCCGCATCGAGAGCGGGGACCACCCGATAATCCCGGGACCACATATTATATTAATCTTGGTCTAGATAATATTTATATGGTGGTAGATATTTTAGTTGGGCCACAGGAAGTACATAGGGTTGACCCGTTGGTCAAACGAGGCCCAATTACCGGTATTGGTAATTTATCAGACGATAGCCCGAAACGGATTTCGGAGACTTCTAAATTAAAGATGAAGAATGTATATTCATTCTAAGAGTCCGTAATGATAGGAAACACATAATATATTTAATTTGATCCGATAAAAAATAAAATATAATTAAACAGTCCGAAAAATACAACTTTTGGGACCGATTGTACACCTCAGGAGTTAAAGGGTTGACCTCCCATAGGTGTGGGGGCCAACCCACGTTTTTTGGTCACAAAATCCAATGGTTGGCCAGCTGGAATGAGAGGAAGAGGGTTGAGAGAGGGTGAGGTGAAGGGGATGGCATCTAAAGGACATGAGGTGGACCTCCCGTCCACACTCATCTGTCCAATGAGACAAAAGGACCATTCCTACTCCCCTATCCCTCTCATTTTCGACCAAGCCTCTCAAGGGAAGAGAAAAACCTCTGCAAAACTCCATTCCTCCATAGCCAAGTGAGCTCAAGAAGACAAAGTCCAAGGAGGAAGACTTAAGGAAGAAAAAGTGAGGAAAAAGTGTGGTGATTAAGGTAATGACCTTACATTAACTTTTCCTCTACTCTTTAGCTACAATATGGATTATAAATCATATGAGGAACCCCTAGGCTTGTTCTACATGTTTAGAAATGTAGAATGAGGGGTTGGAAGGCAGTTCTAAGTCCAAGAACGGACTTAGAAGCCGAAACGACCGGTTCGCCGGAAAGTAACCTTTTAGAGGTTATTTGTATTGATATGAGTTTTGTGATGATAAAAACATATTAGGAGCTTGACTCAAGTGTGTCTAGAGTTCGCCGGAGTTTTCTCCGGAGTTCGTCGGAGTCTCGCCGGAGTTCAACTAAGGAGAGTTGAAACTTCTTAAAGCTCATTTGAGGTGAGTGTTGGGCTCGGATCTGTCAAGCGAATCGGCCCATTGATTGGGTTTGAGTTTATTGGACGGATCAGCCCACGTAACCCTAAGAAATCTACAGAATCCGGCTTGGTCAAATAATGTGACGAAGTGGATAAGAAAGCCTAAGAAGTTGAGGAGAAAATGGAGGAACGGTTCCCGATTTAGTAGGGGAAGGCTATCATTTCGCCGGGCAGTTCGTCCACATGGGGGATAAGGCTGAAAATTTTATTTTAAATAGACTGGCTGTAGAAGAGAGGAGGGATGAATCCTGCTTGATTATATATGCACTTGTAATACCATTCTTTCAGTCATACACTCAGATTAATACATTTCATTCATTAATTTTCAGTTTTTACATTTTGTTTCTTGTACGATCCCTACATACATATAATTTTAGATTAGTTTAATTCTTGCTTAAACAATTTGGCGCCCACCGTGGGGCAGCGTGCAAGGAAAGATCATCAACCATGACCGGAAACAGCCCTTTGTTGGAGGAAATCCACGCTCAAATGGAGGCAGTTCGAACCGAGTTTCGCCGGGAATTGGCGGAAAGGATGGCACATCTCCAACGAGAGAACGATCTATTACGATCCCAAGTTCAGTCAGCAGTCTCAATCGCATCCAACTCTAGGGGCAATCGAAGGAACGATCTCATGCCCGTGATCACGAGGCTAGATTTGGAATCCATTCCGACGGCAACGGACACGCCCACCATCGCTTCCGAGCCCATATCCCTCAC